TTCTTTAATCTTAAGTGCACTTCAAACCTCTTCACAACTTTGTCCCTGATCTATCTGTTGCTCTTTATGATGCTTTTTCTTCTCTAATGTTTCTATAAACCTCTGAGGTCTTCACTAAAGAGCTGTGTTTATACAAAGATCAAATTACACAATAAAAGTGGCCGATTACAAACATGTCACATTTTTGACACTTTTGTTTGCATAAATCTTTGAAAATACACATAATTTTCATTCCACTTCGCAATTTTGGCTGCCGTCTATAACAGAATAAGCACATTCAATACCGTGAAGTTTGTAGCTTGTGACAAAATGAATGTCACATAAATGTTATGAATACTTTTGCAATGCTACTTGTATGTAAATACCATAGTGACCAGAAACGAAATGAGGACACCACCAACATATTCGCGTTGAAATCAACTGAAATTCTTACCTGCTTTTTCTCCATTCATTTTCTGTCAAGCGCCGACAAAAGCAAAAAGGAAACTAATTATGCATTGGCATGAGAAACGTTATGGCAGTGTATAACATCTAAATAAATATTTGAAAAGTACATATACTCCAGAAAGTCACGAATATCTGTCGAATCTGCGACACAAGGCTCTTCACTCAGCGGAAGTAAATAGCATAAGCAGCAGATTGTCTGACAGGTAACCTTACAGCGCCCCTTAGTGACGGGAAGATAATACTGCAACTGCACAATGTAAAACGCATTTAAATAGAGAAAATAAGCGTTAAAGCAAGTTTATTTGTCCAGTGAAAAACTAAGTGTTTAATTCAAGATGCAGAGCATCATGTTTGGAGTAAACCCAACATAGCATATCAGTATAGTCACTTAATACAAAAATGTAAAACAAAGAAGTGGCAGGATGATGATTTGGACTTATTACATCCTATTGTTCGGTAGAAAGCAATCGTGATGGTGCAGGAGTAGGTGTAAAGGTGACAGAGGATGAATTGGTAATAAATTAGAGTTGTTGACAGAATCTTTATTATACATTGCAAAAAATGTACATTAAAATACATACTGACATTTACAGCTTTTTGTTGTTTAATTCTTTTCTTGTTTATTTTATATTCAGTTACATCAAAATTTCACTTCAGGCCAGCCCTAAAAGTCATCAACATTTTCTACAGCTTCAGGCACCAAAATCACACTGTGCACACACATCAGATGAACAATAATGACATAATCTGGTTTTATATTTTTGCTTTTCCTTCTCTTATTTGTTTCATCAAATATTATTGTTCAAGATGAGAAGAAAGTGATCTTCAGGTCAAGGACAAACTAATTACATATAAAAAGTGCATGCAGTGTGATCAACCAAAAGTGACTTTGTTAAATATAAGGTGTCTGAAAAAGTGGCGCACAAGCATAATTCAGGAAAAACACAAGTGATGTAAACACAACCAAAATATGTGTAAGGAAGTGTAAAAGATCCAGTACCAAATATCAAATATCCAAGAAGATAACGGACGTCTTTTGTTTCAACGGAGCAAATTATTTAAGGTTTGTCTCTGATTGTATTCAAATGACAAACTACTGAATGCACTCTTCACCTTGTTTGCATAGAGAAGTTTAGGTGTGAAGCAGCAACCATCAGCAATAAAGCAAAAAAAAAAAAAAAAAACAATGAAATTTGTTCCACTCCACACAGAAAATAACTCTAAAGATGAACAATGTGCCTTAATGCCTTACCTGTCATCAGGCTCCTCCAAGTCCTTATCAGCATTGTCTACAGCTACCAAACCCTATAACATTTCATCCTGACTTATAATATATATTCTTCACCTATTTTTCCACTTTTATTCTCTGTAACCCACAAAATGGAGCAACTCATTAATAGATATGAAATCAGTAAAAAGAAAAATGAAAACTTGCAATAACAGCAACATTTGAAGGACGAGGCAGTGTAGTCACTGTAAGGCCTATACAACTGGATTCCTGAGACATTCGTGAGCGGTGCAAGTAGTCTTTCCGTGTTTGTGTGTGAACGTGCTTTTTCACATGATGCAACACTTGTTCTTGTGCGTGTGAGGATCTTTGAAACGAAGCCTCTGTTTCGATCGATATTTCTCCAAGTATGTCAGCTGTTTACTGTTGATGGCTCCTCTGCGTTTCCTGCATTGACCAAATGAGACAGTGGATCGTTTTACAATAAAGAAATCCCAGAAGATATTAAATAATTGTCTGCTAAACTTTACCAGTACATTTTAAAAACTTAGATCAAATAATTTTTTCTGTATCAAATGTGTGTGCGTGCGTGCGTGCGTGTGTGTGTTTTAACACAGATCATCATGAAACTCGGAATTGTGTGCTGGTCCTCTCTTCTGGGGAAATATCTTTTAAAAACCACTGAATGCACTCTTCATCTCATGTCTATCTTAATGATAGATACTCTACAAAATAACATCTTTTAAATTCAGTTTTGGTCTGTGCACTCAAACAGCCAGCACTCCTTGAATCCAACTGTCAGAATGTGGGATATCCAACCGTTTCTCTCTGAGTCGGTTTCAGAAGTTGCACCTTTGCTACCGATGTCAGCAGCGTTCATTTGGTCAGCAATGCTGGTATGAAAACACACTGAAAATCTTTTGCTTATTAGTCTCTTCAAAAAGCACAAACCTGTTTC